ACTTTTAAAATACTTTAGGAATCTTGTATTATTCACTTGTGTAATAAGCTAAGTACCAATATATTATTAAGTAAACTTGAAGCTTTCATATCATAGAATATTATATTTGCTGAATCACTCTAAATCTCATAGCATTAACTTTATATTCACAATGGAAAATGCTAAAAAATGCTTTGAATGTAAAGAGTTTGGTTCATCAAAGTTTCACTAGTTAAAAACAAAATATAGAAGAAAATTTAAAGTAAAAGTTTGGTAAGAAAAGAGTGTATAATACTTTGTAACTATTGTTATATGAATCATATATCAAACTTTCTTAAAAGAGAAAACAAAGTTACTAATCAAGAAATTCTAAAAGCAACTAAGATAGGTATCATAAAAATGAAAACAGAAACAAAAGAAATAAATATATTTAATAATTTTGAACTCGTTGAAGCTATAAGATCTATAGCAAAAATTCTCTATAATAGAGAAGTTAAAGAAAAGTAAAAGCCAATTTATAATTTTGATGAATTATAAGAATTACTTAAAATCAAAATTTTAACTTGAATTGTTTTTTTGAACAATTATATTTAGCAGCACACCTATCAGATCATAGCAGTTAAACCATGAAGCATATAAAAAAAATTATGGTTTTTATTTGTTATCTTTTTAATTTATTAAATAATATACAAATTAATGCTTTTAAGTCAGATCTTGCATTTTATTTAGATTCAGCAAAAACAAGTAACAAAGATTTAAATATAATAGCAAATATTAGTATAACTATATCGTTGAGAACGGTAAATAAAAAAAAAGAAGATATCAAAAATACATGAAAAATACATTAGAGATGATTTTATAGAGCATTTAAATAATGCTCTTATACTAAATATTGATGATTATCATAATATTCATATTTAACAACAACTCTGTACTATTGCTACCTCTTTACCAACTCATATAACAACAATTATAACAAATCCATGCTTAACATTAGCTATACTACATAATCAAATATTTAATTCTAAAATTGTAGATAGAGAATTAAATTAATCTTAAGAAATATAGATAAGCATTTTATTGTTAATCTTGGTGTTTCTTATTATAATTATATGAAAAATTGCATAAATAGAGAATATACTAATACTGAATTATTAGAAAAACTTACTTTGCATAGCTATGATAATAGATTAGTGGAAAAGAAAAGTAAGCAATATATTAAAAATTGTATCCTTTTTGATTTTGTTAAATGCAATTTAAAGAAAATTGAAGAATATTTAGATTCACTTCAAACTGTATACAAGCAAGAGCCAATATCTGAATATTTATTTAAATTCACAGTTCTTGTTGTTGCAAACTGGCCTGGTCAATTTTATATCTGTAAAGCTATAGCACAAAAAGTTCTTTTAGATAATCAAAATATTTCTGAATTTGTTACAGTGTTTTTATCTATGATAGGTTCTCTTCATGTCTTATTGAATGTTCGCAAACTTGTTTTTAAAAAAAACTCATGCCTGTTTAATGATATTTTTATAAAAGCATATTTGGAATTTATAAGAATTTTGATAAGAAACCAGGATCATGGAAAATTAATTTAATTCTTTATATAGTATATTTGGCATAATTTAAAATAGCTGATTTTATTTATTCAAAATTCGGTCATGTATGCAAAAATATAGAATTTTTATATTTAACTAACTTATTTAGTAATTTAGTTCCTTTAGTTTTAGACATTTATGCAATACATTATCAAGAAGAAAACTGGCTAGCCTATGAGAAAGCTTATATACATTATTAGAGTGATCTCTTTTTACAGTTTGATAAAAAAAATTATAAATGCACACCTTTGATGTTTTTTGTTAGATATTTTTTACTAGATAGAAACTAATTATCTAATATTTAATTTTATTATTAACCATCTTGCTTCTTTAAGTAATTCTTTTGTAAAATATTTCACAGCATTATTAGACAATATACTTCTAAATCTTCAACAGGTAAACAATTATGAATTGCTACATATACTACTTATTAACAATGCCATAACAACGATTTTTAACAACAATTTGTATGGTCTGAAAAGTATCTTTATTTACTAAAACAATTGCACATGCTTTTCCAAAAATACATTATATACTGTATATTTTAGAGCTTTTTACTAAAATATATCATAAATACGATATAAGCTTATTTATTGTTAGTTCTAATAATATTAACACATATAAATTATCATAATTAGGTTATACTATAAAATCATAGATCGCCATCTTCCAAAAGGTTTTGTAACATCAAGAAAACCCAGTATTTTTACTATATATACCTCAATTCATTGCAATATATCTTATTATTTATCTAACGGCAGTGTCTTAGTATGCAGACACAGTTACTATGGTTATTGCTTACAAAATTAGCAATTTAAATGTTTTATTTGTTTAGATTATTTACAAAATGAAATTAGAAAAAATACTAATGCTTTAATAAAAGTTTAACAAAAGATTTAAGTGAAAACTTATCTAAAGAAGACATCAAAGAAGACAAAAATGACAAAGATTTAAACAAAATTCATAAAATATTTGATGATGAAATGGTTGAATATCAATTTGAAAATGCAAAAAAGTTATTTTTTAAAATGCATAAAATTAATATAATAAATAAATAAAACAATAATAAATTAATAAATAAAATTTTAAAAAATCAGAGCAACTCTTCCTGGACTAACTGTTTCTAATCAACTCAAGTTGAAAAATTCGAAGTCGGACATCTAAAACTACCCAAGTTTCTTTTTCAGTCGCTGTTGACAAAGCCTTTAACATAATATATCAAGGAGTAAGTATTAGAGAAGTAGTTTTTAGATTGGGTCAAGCCTTTTCTTGTCTTTGGTAAACTCACTCCTATATTTAACATCCAAGCCAGAAGGATTATTTTGGTAGCAATTAAATAAAAGAGAAACTGTGGATAGTAAGGAAAGAAGAACAAGAAACAACTTAGAAAGCGCTTATTATGATAGAACTTTGCAAAACCTCTATATTTCCTAGCCACTTTTTTTTCAAAATTTTCAACAAAAAGTAGAGATTTGGCTACCCTCTCCAAAAGATCAGCAAGAAATCGGCATTATTTACCACTTCTATTTTCAGAAAGTCTCAAGTTGCGATATAATGAATTAGAAAAACAACAAAACATATGTAAGGAGGAAGTTTTGAAGCTGAAATTAAAACTAACGATCACATATCAAGGCTTTGAAGTCAAATATTCTAGAACCCGAACTGGATTTTATATGAGAGTTGTAACTAGAACACTATATGAGATATACAATATTTCAAAGTCATATACATATAATTTTTAGCTCTTAGTACAGATTAAAGTGTACTTCAGTTTATTTTTACGTCAGATAGCTCTATGTATAGATTTTTACAACCATGTAGATAGTTTTTTTACCTAATTAGCAGGTTTTATATCTGTAGACAAGTTCTTTTAGATTTTAGAATAGTCTTTTAACTCCTTTATAATTTGGTCATTTTCTTATATGTTTGTTTTTTTCTTTGTACTTACTCCATATTCATTATATACTTACCTCTTTTTTTTTTCTTTTTTATTTCTCTATAAGAAAGTGTCATCATATTGATAACACTCTATTATAGAACAGTAATTTTGACAAAGGTGGTGAAAACCATCTGTTGATACTAGGGTTTAAATTCTCAGAAAGTTGAGGATCCTAGTAGAGAAAATTATTCACTTAGGTGGGTCGCTCCTGGATTATACTCTAGTGTTTAATTCTGATTTGCTAGAATTAGGTTGCAATAATGAGACAAATCAAAAGATTCTTTATTTGGACAGACATAAACCAGTTTATGACAGATAATATAGGTTTAGCTAACTGAGTATCTATTTGTAATCTGTTGCCAATTTATAAAATAAAAAAAAGATTGCTGAAGTAAAAAAAAAAATAAATAAAATTTAATAAAACTAATAAAATTGAAATAAAAAAATTAATTGATTTAAGCAGTTCGCTAATGATAAGTATAGCATAATACATAATAAAAATTATAGTATAATATATCATTTGATTATATAAATAGTAGTATAAAAATTGATTTACATATATTTGTTTACATGGGTAGTTTATATTGCGATTTATAAAATTGTTAACTTAGAGTAACCAATCATTTAACTGTTCCTGCTGTATTCTAAAAATAAAATATAAAGAATTAAAAAAAAAAAACTTATAGATCGATAGCATAGTGGTTAGCACTCTCAAATTACAGTCACAAGGTTGTAATTTCGAATCTAACTGAAGAATAAGTCTCTGTAAGGATCATGACTGAAAGAATCTTTAAGAGAACAATTTCTATATAAAGAAAGAACAGGATTCATTAGCATAATCATGAGGTTGAGAATGACCAAATAAGGCAAATCTATCAACAAATGATGTAAAAATTGAATAAATTCAATTTAAGAATATAGTGATACTAATCTAATAAAAAAAAAAAATATAGGGTTTGACACTCAGAGGTTACTGCCTATACCCAAAATGAAAAGATAACTGAAACCTTAAGACAGACCAAAAATGAAAAAACAAATACTGAAGTAGTACAGGATGGATTATTAAAAGAAGAACCAGATGGTACTAAAACTGAAAACACTGTCGGCAGGCAGAAAAATAAATAAAAAAATACCTAAAAGACTGAGTATAGATTAAAAAGATATATAGAAATAGAAAAATTACAATGTATAAAATGTAATGCAGATTTATAAATAAAAGAATGCCACACACGCCCAATGATGATAATATTGTTAATATAAAAAAAAAAAAAAAAAAACACTACTGTAAAAAAAAAATCAGCTGTGCTGCAACTAATGCTTAATAATAAAATAAACAAGAATTTACTGAAACTTGTACAAAAATTTATCTAAAAAAAAAAAAAAAAACAAAATCAAAATTGTTACCAAAAAATACACTAAAAATGACAAAAGTCTACAGAAACTTAACTACACAGTATGATTCTATATTAAAAGCAAACTCAAAAATGACAACACCAACACAAAAAATTACACCAAAACAGTGACGCCAGAACCAGCACAATAAAATCACACAGCTTCAAAAAGCAACAACTCCAAAAAAAGCGACGACTTCAAAAAAGTGATAACACGACACCAAAACAACACCAATGGCGACTATTGGATTATTATTGCAGGTACACAACAAACATTTGATTGGCTAATTAATTGGGTCCACGATAAATTTTTAGACCCCCGGGGTCTAGGATAAATTGCCTAAACCCCCGGGGTCTAGGATAAATTGCCTAAACCCCCGGTTTAGGTTAAGTTTTTCCATAGTAAAATCGTTCAAGAAAAACTTTATGTTAATGCGCAGGGGGTGGCTGATTTTGAATATTTCTGATCGTGTAACGTTACATCAAATCGGAATTCTTATTTTCGTCGATAATCACGTGACAGCAAAAAATTACATAGTAATTTTGTTGGCGATCCTTTTAATTTTCGAAAATCATTTTCTCCATTTAAATTTACGTTAAGGGCAAAATATTTTCAACATTCATGTATAGGCCACCTTCAAGCGGCGAAGAGTATTTACGTATGGTCCAACTGGAAGCAAATAAAATCCCGGACTTTTTTGTTGCAAATAAACCTATACAAAACAACAATATTGCAACCAGCTATAAATCGAATCAGGTCAAAATTGCTGGATGGGCTAAAAGAGGTTGGGCGAATAGTCAGAGTATTTCGATCGAAGAACAAGACAAAAAAAATAGAGAAATTGGTTTGATTAATGAAGAATGGGAAAATGCATTTTTAAGCAGATTTGAAAACTTGAGAGAGGTTTGAAATATTTGCATTTTTTATATTTATTTTCATGTAATGGGCTTATATTAACTTTTTTTCTCCCGATTGAACAATTATTACTAAAATAAGACGCTACAACGATACGTTGCCAAAACTTCAAAGGGAATTAAACCTTTGCCAAATAAAACATTATTTCCACCTGTTAAATTACCAAATAAACAAGATGAAGCTGGATGGCTAAAATTTTGTTACGGATTAGAAATACCGAATTATGAGTCATCAACAAAAGTATCAGAAAATGAAGAAACTGAAACTGATGAAGCGGCTGCGATGATGTTACCCTTTTTGAGTATAATATCTCGACTAGATCAGGTTTGAAATGCAATTGAAGTGATATATATATGGGGTTGAGTCAATAGAAATCAAGCAAATTTTTTCTAAGTAAATTCTTTTTAGACTTTAAACAACAATAACTCAACAAAAACTTAATCAATATAATAAAAATTTTTTTAAATAAATTCTACAAACTTATAGAATTTGTTTAATTAAATTTGATCAAGTTTTGGTTAAGTTGTTGGTATATAAAGTTTTAAAAAAATTCAATAAAAATAATAGGACTGGGTGAAACCCGCGTTGTAAATTAGTAAAATCCGCTACGTAGATCACGTTAGGGTGAAATCCGCGCTTA